ATAGCGTCCCTGGTCTGGTGGACTCAGATATTGCTCGCCTTGACTGCACATCACCCCTCGTTCTGGGAGAATGACTACTGATGTTGCGTTATAGTTGCTTTGACCTTTACAGCATCACCAACATTACTCGGTTTCTCGGTTTCTTGTCGCCAAAGCTGCGCCGTGATGGCCTAGACCCCCGGCAAGAGTGATAGTGAGCCCGAAAATGAGTCTTTTTGGATTTTCCTTCGCCCAATGATGCGATATACATGTCCAGCTTGAGTCCGTGCCATCCTCATGCAAAGGGATCACAACAGATTAATAACAATAGTGTAACTATTTGTACAGACCCTGGACAAGTTTTTGCCGTCCAACATGTGCTGGAATGAGGATGGCATACCCTTCGACCATCGAAAAGCCCCCATTCGGGGCGCAGAGAGAGTGCCGCCCGATAGTTATAAACCACAATACATCACTCCGCGACGGATCATTTCAAAGTGGACCAACTTGGCTGCCTTTTTATGAAAAATGTATCCTAACATCTCATATGCGCTTCTGTCGGCGGCACTCTTCGTGCTAAGTATGGTGCATCTCATCTTGCTTACCGTTCACCGCCCCCAGCCTCACCGTTTGCCTGAGATATCAATCTTCGTCCTCTTTATCTGCGTCAACGCTGTCGTCATTGGCATTGGTCTGTCAGGCTTAAGGCGCGGGGGTGAGAAGCCCCTTCTACCGAGATGGATAAATGCTAAAACCTTGTTTCAGATACGCCAGCATTTTACTATCCCTTGGGAATATGTACAGCATTTCCGCTAGCCCTTGAGGTACGTTATTCCCAGTCCCCTGCTTTGGTCCTCGCTAACCGCGATGTCTAGATGATTCGGCAGAGCAAAATCCAGGCTGGACCACTTACAAACGCCCTGGTGCATCGATTATTTCTAGGCTATGGTTTTCTGTCCCCGGCGGTAAAGCTCGGTTTGATCTTATGATGTGCTCTTCTCCCAGATCTTGATAGGCCTTTTGCTCATTGAGTTAGCTCGATCGCCTACGAGGCGTCGGTGAAAGGTACAGCAGTGGTCGTATCTATCGACTACACGGTCCTCGCGATTGCCGGTCTGCTTTTTTGGCGCGGAATTTGCGGTATACCCTATCAGCTTTCAAGCCAGATTGTGTTACAACATTTCAAGATGTAGAATGTATATTTTGCAATGAGTTAAGTCTGCTGCTCCCCTGCTCTTCACCACTTCCTCAACTGTTCTACTACAGAGAGGTCGGTAGCTACCTTGTCTGAAGGTGAGGCACAATTAGTGTTATTTTCCTCTCCACCTTTTTAGCCAATCACAAGTTCAGTGGCAGAAAAACGCGCGCTAATTGTGCCTCTCCTACCATCCAATCTTTCTACTATTATTCTTCACTCACAAGCCGCAATCGCTCCTTTGCGCTCGCTTATCCAGCTTGAAAACGCGCTGTTTAATCCCTCGGGTGAACGTAATGAGATATCCAACGGCTGCACGTGACTTGTATAGGTGAATTCCATGTAATCTACAGCTGTTAATAAAAAACAATCACATAGATCATGTTGCTGTTTGTACAGAGAATAGCCATCCTCTTCAACAGTTATAACACTCTGAAAAGTCTTGAGAAAATGTTTCATACATCTGCCATTCTTGTGATAAAGGCTCGCCACGCCAGCATTATATGAATTATAAATCATGAATTTACAGATCAAATCATGAATTTACAAATCAATTCATTCAATCTGCTTGTATTCTCAGCAGTGCTTGACAGCTCTGCAGATATAATCTCATTAATTATTTCAAACTGTAAAACTCACTCAGAGTTCTCTAATCAGATCAACAGATGCATATAAAGCAGTTTATATTTTTAATATTTAATTATTCATACTTTGATCAACTGTAAGAGTAAACAGCTGCTCAGATTTGAGAATATTAAAAAAATGAAAAATCTTCATTATAAAAATAATACAATCAAATCTGAGCAATCTGTTGCAGTTTGATTAAAAAATAATTCATGAATAATCTTCTTTCACTTAGAATTAATTGTAAATGTAATGAAAAGAGTTGAGTGTTTATAATTGAAGATAATTGCTATAGAATTCTGAAACAGTTTATGTATAAAACATTCACTGTTTATATGAGAAGTAGATAATATTATATAATAATCAAGCTACTTACAATTCATATCATCTGTCTGTATAACATCACACAGATCATCATATTGATCAGCATAGATTTTTAATTAATGAGTATAAATTTGTAATGCACTCGTTTATTATTTCCTTATTATTATATTATCTTTGTTTATATCTTCGTCTATTCTTACCTCTTTCCATTATACTCTCGCTACCACTATTTCTATATGTATATATATATGGATGCATGTATTTCGCACATCTTCTTTCTCTTTCTTTTCCTCTTCAGCGATTAGCTACAACTACAACTACAACTACAACTTCAACTATACTACTACTATAATTATTATTACTATTATCTTCTACTACACTATATACTATCTTCTACTATTCACTCTTCACACTGTCATCACCCCTCACAGAATCCCCACACACTGAGCAAAGATACATAAAATGAGTATATTAATGAACATATATAGATTGTAATAAATGTAGAGAAAAATATAAAGAATGTAAATACAATAGAAAACATCTGTAAAAAAAATAATGAAGATTAATATCAGAGCTGTACAGGCTGCAGAGCCAGTCATTCAATCCATTCATGAATTTGATGAGCTGCACGTGATATCACATGAGGTCATATTACAGTATTTTTTTCACGGAAAAAGTTGGTTTTTCTATAATATAAAAAGAGATACATAGGGTTATCGGCAAAATTAGTCAGCATTCTATTCACCACCCTTGGTAGCTCATCGAAGTACAGTCTCTGTCCAAACTCGAGGGCCGAAGTCCAATCAGGTCAAAGGCATAGTGGCAGAAGAATATTGACAAAAGGTCAGGGACTACATTATGTGGTCACTACCATAATGATCAAGGACCACTGATCTAGGTTGCCATGCTGAAGGTAGGAGATAATAAGCTTGACAAGTTCATGAAACACAATCCATAGATCTGATAGGCTCAAAAAGGGCCAACTTGTGGCTGTGCTGGGCTGTAGACAGCAAAGGCCATTGAATCGATTTCTGTGGTTCTATGGCAATCAAGGACCCTCTGTCAAAAGGCCCTAGGATTTCCCGGCATTTTGCTATATACGACACTTGGTCTTTCTTTCTCATTCTCATTCACTGTCAGCATACTGTGATACAAACTCTCTGAAGCTATAACAACTGCTGCTCTCAGCTTCTTCATTCTTTTATCATCTGTGCAAAGCCCCCTTCCCTTTTCTCTGTTCTTTGAAAGCAGGAGGAGAAGTTGACAATATCAAATTTAATAAGAAAGATATGACAGATTCTGCTTTGTGAAGAAGTCTAATAATAATCTGTATGAGTGAACTTGTTAAAGAATCTATGCCGGCCTTGTTTGCAGATATCAGTTGTAAATGTAAGTTTCTTTTCATTTCTCCACTTGAACTTGACATTTGATTGGCTCATAAGTTGACAAGAAATTGAATTACTAATATATTTGTCAAATATAACATAAAGCAAACCTCAAAATTAGAACAAAATCATGACTAACAAAGATATTTCTATCACTCTGACTAAAAAAAAGGATAAAAGGTTTCTATCTAATCCTAATAGCTTTTGAGAATATCAGTGATATATTTACAACACTTTGAACAGTCATCATCAATGAGAGAATGAAGGCATTCTGTGCAAAATCAGTGTTCACACAGCAGAAAAGTTCTCCATTTCAATAAAATGTTATAGCAAATTTCACATTGACATCAATGCTGCAGCTTCTAAACTTTAGTTTCAAGGTTGTAGAACAACTCATTTTTTATAATCATTTTTACATACAGATGCTGCACTTCTTCTTTCAATTTCTGCACTTCTTCTTTCAACTTTCTTTTCTTCACACACTTCATCTTGAAAATGGTATAAATTCTCTGATTCACCATTTCCTATCTCAATATCAGCGAGGGAATATCCCCAAGAGTCTCACTGATAAAGGTCTTACTAAAACCATATCCAAGTTGGGATATTTTTTGTTTTTTCAGTGGCCGCTCTATTTCGGACTTCAGAGCATCAGAAGATACTAAATCATTGAATGAATCATTATAGATTGAATAGCTGTAGTCTGTGAAGGTTCTCTTTTTTTATAACATTTACATTTCTCATGTCTAAGGCTATTTGTCTGTGTCATCTGAAATGATGATGACAGTGTGGGAACTATCAGCTGACACCATAGCTAAGTGATGGAGAGGGCCTGGCGGAAGGTTTCAGTCAACAGTGTAGAATGGAAGGTGGAAAGGGAATTGAAAGAAAGATAGATCCGAGGCGAGAGGGAGCCCATATATATATACTCAAGGTGGGGAAAGTGATCATGAGGTTTGAGCAGTGCAGTTGAGAGTTCATCAGTTCAACTTTCTAATTTGTTGAGAAAGAGATTGATTGATGAGCTTCTGATCTAAGGAGGCTTCTGATTTGAGGAAGATTTTAACTTAGGGAAGGCTTCTGATCTAGGGAAAGCAGTGGCTCCAGAGAAGGCAGATGCTCTATTCAGTTATTCTTTGATAAATACACAGATATGCCTGTTGATCATATGAGTTGTGATGAGGCACAGAAGATGAGAGTGTGCTCATTGTATATTCAACTCTGATTGTGTGCGATGAGACAGTTTGTAGTCCTCTTTCAGAATCATCAAGCAACTGCAGTAAATGTCTATGATCTCAACTGTGTGTGAGGCCTGCACCGGCTCGTCAGCGTAGCACAGAGGTTGAATTATGATTCCGTGGAGATCAGACAGCTGTGCTGCTATGAAACTAATGAGACCACAGCTTGTTGCGATATTGAAATGTGTGTCTCAGAGCAAGAACTGAAGCATATCTTTTCAAACAGACAAGCGGGTTCTACATCAGCATTAAGTCACAATGGTGTATGTATGTATGTATGTATGTATAGGTTTAACGTCCCGGAGAAAACACGGGCAGCGCCCGTGTTTCAGAAGCCTCCCGAAGGGCATGGAGACGTGCTACGCTGGAGAGATTTCTATGTACACAAAGAGAGAAAACAGAATCCAGGTGGCAACTCTTGAGAAGACTCAGCTCATTGCAAAGGATTTTTCTGAGCTGCGCATCCACTTCTGGCCCGACGTATGGCCATTCATGGTGGGGCTATAGTGTGGTTCCCTGAGGGGACCGCCGCTGCCGTGCCTGGAAGGCTTTATAGTGAGCAGAGAGGGATACCTCTCTCAGTTGATCAGAAAGCTGTCTGTGCTTCTAACATCAGAAGAAAGACAGACAAGATAAATAATGAAGGAGAGAGCACTGAAGAAGGTTGTGACAGGAAAAGAGCAGAGAATGACAGAGAGAGTAAAGAAAAGAAGGATGAAGAAGCATTTGAGCCGATAGAGACAAGGGCAAACGAGAGGAAAACAAAGCAGAGCACGCGTAGATACAATGCCGGCAGTCAAAACCATATCAGCTGAGTCAGACACGTAGACTGTACTGATTACACCACAGCTAATTGAGACAGATGAGCCTAGTTGTGCTATCTGTACTGTCTGCATAGACTGTGATGATGAGAGTGATGAGGACTGAAAACAGAGAGAATAGCATGATCTGAAGGGGGGAGTCAAAACTGACTGAGTGAAGCATCAAAAACAGCTCCCCCTCCAAAAAGAAGGGCAGTGGGTGAGCAAGGGTGATTACTATATAGAAGCCTCGAAAATGCAGTAACTTCAAAAATTGTGGCCATGGCGTGGAGGGAAACGTCGCGGCCGTGGGGATAAATTCACGTGATGATCGACGTTGGGCGGTTAGCGGGAGGCCAAAAGCAACCGCGAAAACGGCCATTTTCAGCCGCTGGTTAACCGTCACATCGTTATATTAAGTATTTTAAAAACTTTAATAAATTAATAATTCTATATTTTTTTTCTTATAAAAATATAATATAATATAATATATATCTATAAATTATTGTTCTTTTTTTTAGAATAGTTTTGAATGAATATTCATTGAGATATTAGCATTTGAAGTTGATTGTAATTGATTTACAAAGGCGAGCGTTGGGTGGAAACGAGCGTTAGATGGTTGATTTAGTTCGTATTCGAAAATTCTGTCATTTCTTGGCAGTCAAAAACAACGCGTTGACACCATTTGAATCAATTATTGATTGAAATCAATTCTCATCATCTTCTGCCTCAATTTCTATACAAGTCTTATATGCTTTGATGGTGATTTATTATCCTCCCTGCTCTGTTGAATGAAGCTGTGCTGATTTCCGAATTTAGCAATATATACATTGATAGCTGTGTCATAGGAGCAAGAGAACTTGTACCACTCTGAGTTTTCTAAGCTGTATTCTTTGCATGGCCTACCTCTCTCAAAACAAGCTGACTGCTGCGATTGCTTTTTCTTAATTGGAAGCCAAATGATATAGCTTGAGAATGTCATATTAGTCCTCAGACAGTCTTCCAGCTTCAGAGCAATTTACTGTGATATGGAAGTATTCAATTATCTCATTATCATCAACTTGACCGAGTCTGTAAACTGTCGTCTGCAGATGAGAAAGCACTTTTTGAATTCCTTCTTTATGAAAATTGACACCATCAGAATGAAATGATATACTGGCTTTGAAATGAATGAGGAGTTCAAACTAGTCAGTTTGCAATATTCAAATTACTATATTATCACAAATGGAATTGAAAGCTGCTTTAATGTATATCTCTGTCTCACAGTGAAGCCCTGCGCCAGGTCTATATCAATGATATTATACAATTTTCTGCGGATGATCTGGTTTTTCTGAATAAGTCTATTTTCAATGAGAAGACTGGCTGGTGAACTCATAGCTACTCTTCAATTGATGATGATATATCAATCAAGACTGATATAACAAGAGGAAAGATTTGAAGTATTTGTGTAGTCATGACTCTTGATGAATATCTGCCTTACACAGGTATTAAAGAAGGTTATTGAAATTCAAAAGATTTTTTAAATTGACTTCAAAACAAACTTTTATCAATTATTGATACTGCTGTAAGAGATGGGCTACAAGAGTAATTACAAGAGTAGTGTGAAGTACGCACAAAGGATATTAGAAAGGTAGCAATCTCTATTGTTCAAAGCTAATCGCTGATCTCTTAAAATCTACGGATATCAGCGAGCATTATATAGATAATATCGCCACGTATCTATCGCCACGTATCTATTTCCTAATATAGATATCTCCGTTGCGCCTATTACAACTGCATTTAACAATCAGCTGATGATTATTATCATGAATAACATTGTCAATTCATATTAGAGATGAAGTAATTCAGTTAATTCAAACAGTTAATCATCTTATTCATTATCTTTCTTCTTATTCCTCAAATTTCAATTCAATTGTCAGTGAGCTCATAATAACCTTCTCAATGTTAGTTAAATTTAACAAATGAACTGTGGTTCTTGATAAAATCTTCTGAATAATCAATTTTTTGTTGATGTATATATATAAATTGATTTCAATTGGAAAGTCAATTTTCTGCATATGATCATTCATAGACTCTTCAAGTTCAGAAGTAAAGATTTTATTATCAGTATTTTGAAATACTTAGTATACTTCACAGATCTTTCTATTGTGAACAATTTTTTAAAAGTTTTTTTTAAATGAATATAGATGATGTGCAGCTTCTTCTTTTTCATTTAAATTTTTAAAGAGTGGTAATATAAAAAGAGAATCATCATCATTCTTCACATCATTAATTTCAATTGTTGATTGTTTCTCAATATCTTCATATACAGACTCAGATGAATTTCATAATGATGTTTGAATTCTGACTTTTTTTACTGAATGAGATTAATGAGGTAAAGATGGAGTTTTTGTAGCAGATTCTCTTGATTTTGATGCAGCTTTTATCAACTGTTTTGTAGACTTTTTAACACTTCGGTCATTTCTCATTCACGTAATTTCCCGAGTAGCAGAGGTTGGCACGTAGGTGCCAGCAGGATTTGGATATGGCTGGCCTCTAAAGGGAGGCAGATCGATACACGGAATGTGTTTTCTATGTAGATCATAAGAAACAGATGGGACAGTAGTAGCTTCTGCAGAAGAAGTCTTTGCAGTAGAAACTTTCACAGTAGAAGCTTTTGCAGTAGAAGCTTTTGCAGTAGAAACTGAAGTTATTGCTGCTGTAGGGATGGAAGGGGTGTCTTTCATGTTTGAACATCGCGTTGTGGTCGAACGGCATTTTGAAGGCATGATGATATATATATGCACAAATTTTCCGAATTAGGAAATCAGTAGAGCTTCATTCAATATAGGATATGAATAATATATTGCAATCAGAGAATATCAGATCTGTATAGAAATTGCTGCGGAAGTTGATGAAATTCGTTCAAATGGTGTCAACGCGTTGTTATTGACTGCCAAGAAATGACAGAATTTTCGAATACGCTAAATTACGTTACCAGGCGGTTAATATTTTGGGCATTCACGAGTGTCACAATTGGTGGATGTCTAGCACCTATTTCCCGTGCTGCTTTCTTCTGTCATTAATTTCATCTGTGGATGCATGGTAGGAACTGTGTCAGAGCTGATATCTCATATATCAAGGATCAGAGATGACATCATGCTATAATCTGCCTTGTTGACTGTTTTTTTGCTTCGCCCCTTTGTAAACTGCCTTGCTGCACATTTGAAGCAATGCCTTGCTGAATCTCAGCACTGCCCCGTTTGTATAATCAAGCATATCCTTTCTTATGAATACTGCCTACTTATCATGTAATTATCGGAGTTATAATAATCAATTCAATATTCTATTTTGATATTCAGTATTTGGGTCAATATTCGGACATTATCTAGTTCCGACAAACTGGTATATATACGGGCTCCCGGTTGTGTCCTGAAGTGCTCTAACAACCTTTTCTCCACCAGTTAGCCTCAGTCCAGTCGGTGCAGTGCATAGTTGATGGCCTCATTGAGTGTTATGTTTGTGTGTAAGGAGAGTTCAAAAGAATCTTCTCGTTTCCAGAAGGGATCAAGGCAATTGTAATACCCTCAAAAGACAAAGCAGCGTTATGTGATAGCTTGCTGCGACATACAACCATTCTATATGGTTTGTGAGCATCGCCTCAAAGTCCAAGCGCTTGCTTAGCCGCCGCCCAAAATGCCTATTAGCAGTGGTTTCTTTAATATCGATAACCTCTCGCAAGGCGAGACTGTTCATCAGGTAGATACCCACTCTTCTTTATTCTAAGGGACCAATTTCGATTCGATATGAAACACGAAGCTGACTGAACTGACCATCTAGCGATGTCTCATCGTCAAGGGCTCCTGCAGAGCGGCCTTCATTACTATTGAGAGCCAGAATGTATCGGGATTTCAGGACTTCCCAGCGCAGAGCTATCCGGTTGTCCAAGGCCGCTTTGCCTTCCTTACCATGCTCTCCGAGGGACCTAATAACCTCATTATTCGACTTGGCAGCCATTACAATAGGACGACATCATTGCATTCTACTGAAACAACTGTTGTTTCCCTCAACTATTACCCACTATTGAACACTCCACCGCTTCACCTTGCCATCATGATTGCCAAGGACTCCCCATTGATTATCGACTGTCCACCTGGTAGAAATGGTGGCCTTCCAAATGGGCATTTGACCCTGGACGCCGTGATTGCCAAGTTCCGCATCGCGGCCTACATGTGGCAAGCCCTCACTGCTGAAGATATGCGAATTAAGGGCCTAGGTCGTCGTTCGTTCCGGCTTGAGGAGGAGCGGACAGCCAATACCACCAGTCAAGCGTTTTTGTATGCTGAGGCCCAAGAGACGCTACATGCTAATAACAACATAGTCCCTACGGCGAAGATCCATCTGGTCGGGACGGATAAGACGGTTATGGAATTGAGAGACCCGAATATTGCTCAGCAGAATAAACAGGCCTCTGATAAGAATCAGCTTTTTAACATCTTCCTGGCTGCGCTGAAAAACTATGGCCATCCCTTCGACCCGTCCAGTCACCCAATCGTTGCAGGCCTGATTCTCGACTCTCATTACTCCGTCGACCAGAATCTTATCCTCGCACACGCGGCACTAGGAGCCCATAACGGCCATGGCATCTCGCTGGGGATGTTTGGCAGTCATCTTACCTACTCCTGGCCACGGTTTATTGAGGAAGTTCATGAATGTCTGCTCGATACCAGAGCCCCTGGACCAACTCTTGGCAATGACAATGGCGAATGTGCCACCATGTGGGAGGCTTGCTCGATCGGCCAGGGTGCTTTCCTCCACGAAGTCGGCCATGCCTTTGGTGCACCACATAGCACCGGCATCATGGTACGCGGCTACGCTGAGCACTGGCCCAGGAACTTTCTCTCTAGAACGGCATACAGCGTGGCTCACAAGCGGGAAGGTGTTGTCGTCATAGAGGGGCAGACGGCGAATAATGCAAGATGGGATCTACGTGATGCGCTCTCGTTCAGATTATTCCCGCACTTTTGGATTCCAGGCGATGAGCTTCTTGAACAGGGGGTCCGAGCTGAAACGCCCAGTGTTATCGTAATAGGACAGGGAGATCCAGCGAAGCTGGGCATCCAACTATCATGTCGAGCCAAAGTCGTGCAGATTTCCTTCAACGATAATCTAGAGTCGTACCCCACAGTCGTCTCCCCGTGCAATAACACCATTTACCTAATGAAAGACCTCAAATCCCGCTTCCCCCGCAGGGAAAATAAGCCCCTCAAACTTACTGTGCTCGGCATGAATGGCAAAACCCGCGCCGTTCACGACGTCTGGCGCCTGTTTGGGCCTGAAGATATTATTAGAATCCCGGGCTCCAAGGTGGTGTTGACGAAGCAATCTATTTTATGTGCTCAGATGGAAGCCGATGAATATAAGGAGCCCGATGCCTCGACTGTTTGGTCCTGGGCGACCTTACTAGCTAAACCTAGAGATGGCTTAGGCTACGGAACTAGATCTATGAAACACGTCAAATCTATTGATGTCCGTACGGGTGCTTATTTGGATGGTTTGTATATCGATTTCGATGATGGGGAGCGTGTCAACTGTGGACCGCGATTAAGACGGAATGGAGATAAGCACACCTTTGGCGGACATGCTGCAAAGAAGGTTGACCTTACCCAGGGTGTGGGTAACTATGGAGATCGCGAAATTGTGAGGATTGAAGTAGCCAGGGCAGATAAAGTCATTACAGGCATGCGGATTTATCTGAAGGATGGGACACAGGGAGGTGAGCTGAGCGGATACGGTTATGTGAAGGAGACCTGTGTGCTTGGTGGGTTTTGTTACACCTTCCTTTTTTTTCCCTGCCTTTTCTTCTTTTGGAGAGAAAAGAAGATTTACGCAGGGTTTATAAAATTTCTTTTCTCCTGCTCTTTGTGCTAATATTCGTCCTCGTTCTTTTGCAAAATTTAAACACAGAGCCACCACACGGCCAACGAATTGTTGGCTTCTACGGATGCAGCTGGTGGGGTCGCATGTGCGATGCGATTTTCGAATTTGGCATCATCATGGCCCCACTGGATATCGAGTTGCCAGAAGCTTTGTATGGGATGAAAGAATTTATGAATACCGATGGGAAACGTATTGTGAGTTCGCTCTTTCTATTGATTTGTTCTCATGGAAAGGAGGTTAAATGGGAGATGGGTGAGTTTTGCTGGCAGACTACAATGGCCCAAGGCTGTAGCGAAGAGGGGAAACAGGAGAGTGAAGAGATGCTTGTTTTTAATGGGAACAGCAAACATTTGGATGTTGATATTCGGTGGTGAATATGATGATAACAGCTTGTTAGGTGCCTGGGGCTCCAGGTAAACTGGGCCAAACACAACAGAGGAAACGAGAGAAGTTGTTGTCTAAGGCAGTTCATTTCTTGAGGTGGGTATCGAGGATACGAAATTTTCAAATCAACTGAGAATCGGCTAATTTTTCGTCAATCAAGGAATTAACAAGACAAATTCTTTCCTTCCCAATCCATACGGCCATTATATCACGGCTCCTGATACCTCCACCAGTCTACCTGGAGTTCCCCTTTCGAAGCATACTTATCATCGAATCCACAGAGACACTTCCCAGGAACTCCCCTTTCAACCCCCTCTCGAAACCATTCTCCCAACTATCTTCAATAATTCAACCCTCTCCCTTCTCCTCCATCCACATCCAAGCCGTCCGCGCCGCTCGCCCCCACCGCAACATCCCAACTCGCACACTCGTCCCGCACTCTAGCCTCCAAATCCTTCACGCTCACCTTAACCCTTGTTTCGATCTCCGCCTTCCACTTCCGATCATACGCATTCACTGCCCTCCTCATCTCTTCATCATAGTCAAACATCCTCTGGCGTGATACTCCGTCAATTCCCGCATCCACACCCGGCCCCGCTCGTGGCCTGAGCCCAGACACAAGTGGCCAATCATTCGTTGTAGGCATTTTTCTATGGTCCTTATACTCAGCAGGGTTATCGAGCAGCAGACGAGACTTAAAAGTGATGCCAATCATCGCTTCCATTGTGTAGCGCGCGTCATTGCCACCGTTATGCAGATTCCAGCCTGTAATTCCGAGATCGACTAGGATTTTGCCTAGGGAGGTTGCTTCTGTTTCGCGTTTTAGGACACGGAAGAGGACAGAGGTATCGAGGGTATCAATGAAGTTGGGAGTTTCAGCTGGCTCGCTCGCTTCTTTCTTATTGTTAATTGAAGAGGAGGTAGGTGAGGTGATGGTAAGGGGCTTAGTGAAGGCTTTACATCCTAGTTTCCCGAGGTATCCTAGATCCGTATCAGCGTTATGACCTACGAATATCAGGTTGCGTGGACGGGTTTTATGTTCTGGGATGGGTTTGGAATCGCCGCAGGGTTCAGTCTCCAAAAGTGGTGGCTGAAGAACACTTTCAGAGATATCTTCCCCATTTCCATCGGAATCGCTACCTTCCGCGTCAGTTATATCTTTGGGGGGTCGGGGTGTATTGGCAGAGTAGGGAGCCTGAAAGCACCCATCGACAATGTCCGCAGCTTCTGAGATTGAAATCCATTCACTTTCCCCAAATTCAAAACTGTCAGGACACCCACTAACATACTCCTTGTTGACAACATTTGCGTATTCCGAAATTCGGAAATGGCGAGAGCGTATCTTCGTGGTCCAATTTCTCCCACATTCCCCAGGGGGAATGCCAACGAGATCAAGAGTATCAAGAGTTGATATCCCGATTTCTGTGATTTGGTGGTGAATCTTCTCGTTCGCTTCGACATCGACGCAAACAAAGATTGGCTCACTCGCAAAACGGAATGGAGCTGGTTTGCTTACATCCAACGGTAAAAGATAATACGCATGCTAATGCATACTCCCGTTCAACGCGTTTCTGTTCTCCCATGTAAATCATCAGTAGTAGGGGGTGCAAGTCGCGGCGGGCGTCGAGGACGAATTCC